GGTTTTTTAGATTCACAAAAAGAAAAACCAGCAAGACGGAGAACAAGAGACCAAAGAAACACACGAATGTGAGAATTTAGTCTGTTACAAAATTACAATAACCATCATATTCTCTTAGTTTAACGTCGTTTCAGTGTATTTTGGTCCTTTACTTCATAATAAGCATAATAATCTCTAGTAGTTCTGACGTCTCGGTAGCTAATTTTCCCGTTCCACCTTAAATGGTGTAGCAGTTACATTCTGGCTCCTCGGGCATCAGGACTGCTGCTCCATTTAAGGTGGAACAGGAAAATTCGAACAAGAATCTGGTGAATATCTGACTTCAGCTTCATATCACTGAAGAATTAGGGGTGGGTGATAATAAATAATTGCCCCCCTCTTTGAAGTCATATGATGCCCTAAATGTAACTAAAGCCCAGCAGTGAGGAGCTGAACTTTACCCTCCTCTGCTGTCACTGCAGACTGGCAGGGTCGCCTACAGAGCAGCGCTGGTAGCTGTTAATGAAGTGATGCTCTTTTTATTTGAGGGTCCCATTTCAGAGGGAAGAGTTCAACCACTACCCTGTAACTCAGCTCCACAGAGCAAGGAGACACTCGAAAATAAGAAACAGGACTGGGCCAATTATGCTGTCTCCTAATAAAATATGCAACTGTTTAGTTCTGGAAGACCTGGCGTTCCATGACGTGCTCAGAAAAGCATACTGTGTCATAATTTAAAGGTGCACTGTGTAAGATTTAGTGGCATCTAGTGGTGATGTTGCAGATCGCGACCAACTGACTCCGCCACCAAATTCACGCTGCCGCTTCGGCGTAAAAACAGGAGTGAAAGGCGCCTCTAGAGTCAGTGTTTGGTTTGTCCGTTCTGAGCTGCTGTAGAAACATGGCGGTGGCAGCTTCTGTTGTAAGAGGAGCTGCTGCCTATGTAGATATGAAGGGCTCATTCTAAGATAACGAGAAGATAATGATTCATAATTACAGCTGATTATACAGTAATGAACACATGGTTCTGTGTATTACATACTATGTTCCATTTCTGATAATAGACCCCCCTAAATCTTACACACTGCACCTTTAACATGAAAACGATTAAATACCATGGTGTTGCCCACCCTGAAATCAGCCCCATGTGGGGAGTGGTATGAAGGTCCTGATAATAGCAAAGACACTTCCCAGCAGAATTCATTTCACTCTGTAATGTCTGTCATGTTTCAGCCTTCACAACTCATTTCCTGCTCTCAGCAAAGTAAACACAACACAATGAATTCTGCTTCGGGTCAAAAGGTCCACCAGCTACTACATCAGGGGAGCCTTCATGCCTACAGTAGTGTAGGTGAGTCAATAACTTCCCTTCATTTATTTAATCTCCACTCAAAACAGCCCTTAAGGACAAACTGGAAACACACATTTAACATCCTGATCACACAGAAGCCTCAGCAGCTAAATCCACTCTCAGCTGTGAGAGTCAGTGAGTCTCTCTTTACCTTTATTCCAGCTTCCATTCTTTTCAGGAGACTCACTTTCAGTTTCGCTAAGAAATCTGCAGGGAATTTTTTCCAGGGATATTAATACGTTTTCTTTGGGGATTACCTTGTCTCACAGTGCCCTCCATGTACCCCTCCACCATGAACAGGTTTAGAAAAAATAGGTTTTCAGACAAAAAAACTTCTCAAAGCTTTCGTCTCAGACATCAGGCAGTGAATTCATAACCATTTCATGTAGGAACTTTCTGTGAGGGAGCTTTTAGAGGTGGACGTCTGGTTCCTATCACCACCACTGTGAACAGTTCTGACTCGGTAAGTTTCTCTAGAACGAAGCGTTTCACACCAAACCACTCTGAACCACTCTGTTTATATCTTAACCATTTAATTATGAAGAAATTTTGAAAATTCAGGGGCATTCCCCTTCAAGTAGTTCAGTCAGTAGCACAAAAGTATTAGATTTCAGCAGCCGAGCAAAAGAAGGTCAGCACTGTAACGTCCACATGATCTGACTGATTTAACAATGGACTCTTTCGAGCTGTTTCTGAATGAATGCATGAATATCGTGATACATATCATCACCAAAAGGGTTAAAAAAAAACCCAGTGACAATATTTATTATTATCACAATGTATTATGGTACAATAAGCCTTTCTTAGAGTGTCATGTTTATCATAAGTACTTAAAAACTCCCCCCAGCTGCACATTTCATTAAAAATGCAGCATCATTCGTCCTGTTTAACTGGATGTGGAAATGCTGATGGATTAGTTTTTGATAATATTTTAAAAGTATGGCGCCTGTTACAGTAGCAAAAGATCAATATTGTACCGTCGTGAATCCCGAAAACTTCTGAAAGTATCATTATACACCCCCCCCCCATAAACCATTTTTATTTGAACTTCACTACCTTATGATGGTTTACAATCCAGATCTGTCCACTTATATTCTTGATAAAATGTATTCTCAGTCCCTCTGTGCTGCACAAAGATAAAGACATTAATTATAATAATTAATCTTCATGAATCACAATCCAGACATGACGTGGAAATGCTTTCATAGGTTCAAAAACCCATGCAATCTCTTTCCTAGCTGTGTATATATTTTCTATATATTTTTTGCACTAAAATCTGTAGAAAAAAGGATCAGTTAACTCATTTTTTACTTAAATAAACAAAACTTTTTGCATGCGACTGCACTGAAGTACATTTATTCGTTCACTTCATATACTCGAACAACTGTGGAAAACAACTGCATGCAACCAGCTCGAAACTCATCCCATACTGGATTGATCATGTCGGGTGTCGCTGCACTCACGGCTCTTTCAGTGCGGTTTCGGAGATCATCCAGGGTTGTGGAACCAACGCCGAACGCTCTGAGCTGTTGGAGCTTCACTGCCCACGAAAATCACACTGCACAGTTATGACGGATTCACTCTTATTGAAGTGGAGAACGCAGAACGCTTTCTGCTCAGGGGTCTCATCTCCTCTCAGACTGAAGGGAGCCATCTTCCACTGACAGTCAGAAACTCTAAGACCCCCTCTTTCAGTTGGATTGTGATTGGTTCCTCGGAGCTTCATGGTTGTAAAAATATGGCGCTTTGAAATCGGATGAATCTTTTTTAATCGCCCTGGACTTTGTCGGGTTATCCACACTGAGATTTGAGCTCCACGTCTGAAATATGAATTTCGGATGTTAATTTTTATTAGTATTTCATTCTCACTGAACCTCACGGCAACCGCCATAGAAACCGTTCAGCTTAGCAACCGCCTAGAAAACACTTGGCAACCACTGCATACACAACAACCGCCTAGCAACCACTGCATTCACCATAGCAACCACCTAGCAATTCCTTCTTACGCAGCTTTGACGAAGATTCTGACTCACCAGTGTTCTCTTATATAAGATTTGTTCTTAAGTAAGAACAGAATCTACACACTCAAGAGCACAAAGGGGAGAACAGTTCTGCGCTTTAAGAACACGACATGAATCTGACATTTCTCTTAGGATCTTTATCAGGAACACATTTAAGAACAGACTTAGGAAGATATTGGAGAACGAATGTAAGAACATCACGATACATATCGGAACCAAAAGGCTGACAAATATCGAAATATACCATTTCTGCCCAACCACATCGCCCAGCTCTACACAGGAAGCCAAGCGTGCGGTTCAAAGAGCAGCTCGCGTTGCGAAAGTCATGGGTTCGGCAGTGGAACGCCAAATTCTTCAGCGTTCATTCCTGAACTGGAACTGACTGACGGTGCGAACCGAGTGGCCTCATTTTCACAACAAACCCTCCTCCACTCAGCCGGGCCTTCATATTCGCTCTGTACTGGCACAACCGGCGACGTGACCACATGTGTGACTCCAGCAGATCCTTCCAACACACTGTTACGCAAACACAACACACACACGTGTGGTTACAGCGTCACATTCTGGAACACAGTTCGAGCTCAAGCAGGTCCATGACCAACATCGTGTCATGTGACTGTCCAGGGACACCAAACTCCGCCAAAACAAATCAAAATAAAGAATAAACTCAGTACCAGTCAAACATTTGGACCCTCCTTAGTAAACCAGACTGTTTATACACCTGGTTTGTGAGGTTTCTGTATCTTGTTTTCACCGCAGCGGCTGAAATGAGGCAGAGCAATATGACAATATTTATCACTACTGTGATAAATTACAGCACCATACGCCTTTCTTAGGATATCATGAATAATGTAAGAGCTTAAAAACACTCCCCAACCACATATTAGTCCTGTTTAATTGGATGTGGTGCCTCACAGTGTGTGGAAATGCTGATGGGTTTATAGTTTTTGATAGTATTTAAAAAAAACGGCGCCTTTTACAACAGAAAATATCGTAAATATCAGTATTGTACCGTCCTGTATCATGATAACTTAAAGTATCATATTACATATTTTACTGTTAACCCAATTTTCATTTTAACTTGCAGTACCTTATAGTTAAACCCAGATCTGTCCACTTATAATCTTAATGAAGTGCATATATATATATATATATTTACACACACACACACATATATAAAAATAGAGCTTCACGGTTTTGTTCTGACCGCAGTGATATGAAAATTGAACCTGTGCTGCCACCTAAAAAACCATAATAATAACTATAAGCTGCAACTACAATGTTAATTCAATCATTTTGTAAACACGTAGTCGGTCAGTGTTCTTTAAGTACTGACGATCTCCACGATATACTCAATAACAGGGAATTATGACATATTTTATCGCGATAGTGAATAAATATCGTAATACTGCCCACCCCTATTTCAGCCCTGCAGGTACTGTATGAGGCAAGATGAGAATAAAAACGCACACAAACCGCCGACTCACTGTTTTGGTCACTCTGTAACTCAAAATATCTTCACTACTGCCTTAAAACGTGAAAAACAGCCAACATAAAGAAAAAAACCCTTCGAGAAGTGGGTGTGACGAAGCTTTAGGGAGGTTAGAGGAACACAAACCGCACCGGAATGTAAATGGGTCGTTACTCACTTCTCTGGCAGTGCTTCTGCGTCCAGCAGCGCTCGCTGAAGTGTCCGTTGATGGTGGTCTGAGGGCAGGTGGTCTTGCCTTTAGCCATGCCGGGACACACGTCCCCGCACTCTCCGTCGTTCTTATTGGCCACGATGTAGTTGTCCTCCACGGAGTCGAGGATTTTGGACCAGTCGAGGGTGGAGAGGTAGCAGAGGTCCGGGTTCTTCTCCACTCGCACGGCGCCACGGGTGATGTTCATCAGGCTGTGCAGGCCCATCTCCTTCAGCTGGAGCATCTCGAACAGCACCAGCGCGTAGTTGAAGAACAGGTTGTTCCCCCGGATCACCGTCAGGTTTGGGAAGAGGCTGCTGAGGCTCTCCAGGCCGTAAACCCGGAAGAGCAGCAGATAGTCCGTCACCACGGTCAGCTTGGGGAAGCTCAGGCCGCGGAAGTCCTCCGGCTTCGTGGTGAACATCAGGAGGATCTTCAGGTGGCCCTCGATCACCGTGCAGTTCTCCAGGGAACGCAGGTTGGTCACATTGTTCCTGATGTCTTTACTCGGACAAACTGGAAAAAACAGAACAAACAGGTGGAGATGTTATTACTCAACTGAGTCAACGAGTAATTAATAGATTATGGGAGAATTAAAAACACTAAACGATTACTTAAAAGAAAAAAATCTCTATGATGTTCATCATAACATTCAGAGGTTACATGAAAGATTGTAATACACTACAGCAAGTGTAGGGGGCGATACAGCTTACAATGTTTCATTTAAAAAGCCTCGATAATGTTCATATGATCCACACAGTCACTCTGACAGACTGTAATACACTACAGGAAGTGTAGGGGGCGATACGGCTTCCACTGTTTCATTTAAAAAGCCTCTATAATGTTCATATGATCCACACAGTCACTCTGACAGACTGTAATACACTACAGGAAGTGTAGGGGGCGATACGGCTTCCACTGTTTCATTTAAAAAGCCTCTATAATGTTCATATGATCCACACAGTCACTCTGACAGACTGTAATACACTACAGGAAGTGTAGGGGGCGATATGGCTTCTACTGTTTCATTTAAAAAGCCTCTATAATGTTCATATGATCCACACAGTCACTCTGACAGACTGTAATACACTACAGGAAGTGTAGGGGGCGATGTGGCTTCTACTGTTTCATTTAAAAAGCTCTATAATGTTTATATGATCCACACAGTCACTCTGACAGACTGTAATACACTACAGGAAGTGTAGGGGGCGATACGGCTTCTACTGTTTCATTTTAAAAAGCTCTATAATGTTCATATGATCCACACAGCCACTCTGACAGACTGTAATACACTACAGGAAGTGTAGGGGGCGATATGGCTTCTACTGTTTCATTTAAAAAGCTCTATAATGTTCATATGATCCACACAGTCACTCTGACAGACTGTAATACACTACAGGAAGTGTAGGGGGCGATACGGCTTCTGCTGTTTCATTTAAAAAGCCTCTATAATGTTCATATGATCCACACAGTCACTCAGATAGATGGTAATAAATTCATAGTAATAATCTTTAGTTACAGCCCTAAAAAAAAGCAATAAACATGAGTTATCACTGGTATCAAATGTTTTATTTTTTAGCAAATGCCACTGAAAAAGAGCCACAACATAATTCAAAATATTTTATTAAAATTAAGTATTGACAGATGAGAGTACTGTATCAACTCCAGAACACGCAACATACAGTAAAACTTTAGAAATATGCTAAACATTGCAAGGAAATACAATATAGTTTATGATACTGTCAAAATAGCTGCAAGTCAAAACCCCTTATTTTTATATTTTGTACATCACATTAAAACAACTAATACAAATTAAATGTAATCATAAAAATCGTGCAGCTAAAATTCTTTAGTTGATGATTTTCAGTGGAACAGCATAACAACACCTGCAATACTTCTGTAACTGAACCGTTACTCAGAAGAAAAAACACTAAAAGGCTAATAAAGTAGGACGAGGCCTGAGAGCACTGAGGGCCTGGAGTCGCGCTGTTCTGTTTCCTGCCTGTGAGCAGATGCCTTCCACGTGACATAACAGGGTTTATGCTGATCGTAAAACATCTTCCTGCAGCGTTTGACATTTCAGCTCTACTATTCAGGCCCAGCGACAGGGAAGCCCTGCAGAGGGCCTGTCTGGGTTCAGCACGTCATTCAGAGAGTCAACACTCAACCTCATTTCAACTGCGCCATTCAGACGCCCAGCACAGCCGTTCAAACGCCCAGCACAGCCTTCAGAAACTGAACACAGCCATTCAGAAACTGAGCACAGCCGTTCAGAAACTGAGCACAGCCTTCAGAAACTGAACACAGCCATTCAGAAACTGAGCACAGCCGTTCAGAAACTGAGCACAGCCTTGAGAAACTGAACACAGCCATTCAGAAACTGAGCACAGCCGTTCAGAAACTGAGCACAGCCTTGAGAAACTGAACACAGCCATTCAGAAACTGAGCACAGCCGTTCAGAAACTGAGCACAGCCTTGAGAAACTGAGCACAGCCGTTCAGAAACTGAGCACAGCCTTGAGAAACTGAGCACAGCCGTTCAGAAACTGAGCACAGCCGTTCAGAAACTGAGCACAGCCTTCAGAAACTGAGCACAGCCGTTCAGAAACTGAGCACAGCCGTTCAGAAACTGAGCACAGCCTTGAGAAACTGAACACAGCCGTTCAGAAACTGAGCACAGCCGTTCAGAAACTGAGCACAGCCTTGAGAAACTGAGCACAGCCGTTCAGAAACTGAGCACAGCCTTGAGAAACTGAGCACAGCCGTTCAGAAACTGAGCACAGCCGTTCAGAAACTGAGCACAGCCGTTCAGACGCCCCACTCAGCCACTGACACCCAGCACAGCCATCCAGCCACCCTGCACAGCCACACAGCACAGCCATCCATCCACCCTGCACAGCCATCCAGCCACCCTGCACAGCCATCCAGCCACCCTGCACAGCCACACAGCACAGCCATCCAGCCACCCTGCACAGCCATCCAGCCACCCTGCACAGCCACACAGCACAGCCATCCAACCACCCTGCACAGCCAACCAGACACCCAGACCAGCCATTCAGAAACTCAACCATTCAGAAACCCAACACGGCCAACCAGACACCCAGCACAGCCATTCAGACACCCAGCACAGCCATTCAGACACCCAGCACAGCCATTCAGACACCCAGCACAGCCATTTGGAAACTAAAAAACTCAACCTCATTTCAACTGCACCATCCAGACACCCAACAAAACCACTCAGAAACCCAACAAATTAACCTCAGTTCAGCTGCACCATTCAGAAACCCACCACCATCATTCAGAGACTCAGCACTAACACCATCATTCACAAAACAAACAACCATTCAGACGCTCAGCACAGCCGTCCAGCCCGACTGCATCACTCACAAACAGCCACATCTCAACCGCAGCCCTTCAAAATAAAGAATCTCGATGTATGACAGTCTCAATTCGTTTTTTTTCATTTCAAACATGATCATCATGATGGATCACCATCAGAAAGCTGCTCCTCTCCGGTGCCGGACGCGTCCCCTTAACACGGCCTCTCTGAACCCCCGCGACCCTAACGGTCGGCAGGAATTACACGCCTGAATGGGGCCCAGAAACTACAGTGGGAAACTTACACACGTTCCATACGCCACGTACAAAGAGTGAGAAACAGGAGGAGGGGCAGAACAGCAGGACAAACGAAGGAGAGAAAGAGCGACACAGAGGACGACCAGTGACGCAGCGAGAACAACAAACACTGGGTCATACAAACAAAAACAAAACTCGGGTGCTGTATTTTATTGAACGTTTGCACCACTGGACAGCTTATAGTAGTTCTGTTGACGAGTGATGAGTCTCTGAAAGCACTGAGGAGGGGGCAGCACTGCTGTTTATCTGTCTGATAAGTACAAACCTCAACTCAAAAAAGTTGGGGCAGTACGTGAAACAAAAATACAAGATGATTAGTAAATATACACTGACCTGCACACTGACCTGCCTTAAAAGAGAAACAGCACAAAGACACGATATTTGATGTTCTTCCTTTTCAGCTGATCATTTTTCATAAATATACATTCATTCTGAAACTGATGCCTGCAACTCATTTAAAAATGCTGGAAAATTTTTTAATTACAATGTTCAAAAGCATCTTAAACAAGCGATGCAATCATGTTTGGGTATGAAAGGTGGAGTGAAGCCTGAGCAATACGACGATATTTATCCTTATCGTGATAAATAACTAGGGCTGAGCGATTTGGGGAAAATATCTACTGCAACTGCGATTTTTCAACGAATTAAGGTTCAGGCCTGGTTTATTTTGGCCAAGAAGACCAGAAAATCCACCTTTTCTGGCTTGGGCTCGACCCCTGAACGCAGTGAGCCAGACTCCAGTACGTTGTGGTTGTGATGTCACAACACATGGAGGTTTGGCTGCCTCTGATTGGTCTAACTCACCTACAGGAATTTCCCACTCTTATTAGGTTTATTTTCCCCTCTTAAAACGTAGGTTTTTGCTAAATGTACACACTTAATAAAGACGGTTCCTTCGTAAAGACAGTGGCTCTGTGTAGAACCATTAACACTCACTGCTATTGTTAGAGTCAAGCATGTAACATTTTGGTGCTATATAGAACCATATTTTAACACATTCTCCAATCTGAAGAACCATTTCATCATGCAAAGAACCATTTAAGCATGCAAATGGGTCACTGAGTGTTCATGGAAAGTAAAGAACCATCTTTTTTTTTTAAGAATCATAAAGAACTGTATGTTTTAAGAGTGCAGGCTGTAATTAAAAAAAAAATTGCAGCTCATCTTAAATTGCGGTTTCAATATAAAAACGATTAATCTTTCAGCCCTGTAAATAACGTCACGTCACAAAATGCTTCTTTGAGTATATCGTGCAAATCATCACACTGACCAGAAACATATTACTTTACAAAGAGATCAAACTTCGTGCTGTTTAATTGGAATTGTTTCAACGCAGGATGTAAAATGCGAATATAAATCACGGTATTTATTGTTTTTATCAGAATTTTTTTAAATATGGTACTTCTGGTCCCTTTCTGTCTGTTCCTACTTATCAGATGTCAGAAAAATAAATATTGCAGCATATTACATATCGCCCGGTTCTAGGTAGAGCAATTCCGGGTCGTGGCTCGCCACTTTGCCAAAAAACACATCAGCAAATAGTCCACTGGGCCTCGTTCACCAATCACTGTTAAGAAGAAATTCCTTCTTAGAACCCACTTTTCAGATTCTGACATTCACCAGTGTTCTCTTATGTGGGATTTGTTCTTAGGGAAGAACAGAATCTACACACTCAAGAGCACAAAAGGTGAGAACAGTTTTGCGCTCATTAATCTGACGTAGACCTTTTCTTAGGAACATGTCCAAGAAAAAGAATCGAAAGATATTGCAGAATGAGGCTCAAATGTTCCTTTACAAGCAAACGCAAAGCATCAAACTCCGTCCGTCGCTGCATCCACAAACGCAGTTAAGACTGTACTCTACGCAGTGGAAGTCACATAT